AAGAAGAAAGAAAGGAAAGAAAGAAAGAAAGAAAGAAAGAAAGAAAGAAAGAAAGAAAGAAAGAAAGAAAGAAAGAAAGAAAAAGAAAGAAAGAACCAGTACTCCATGGAAGATTAATCTCCAGGATAGGGCCCAAAACACTTTCCTTGCAGGCAACCACTGTGCCTTTCAGGTTACCTTCCGTAGGCAGCCAGGAAGATGGGGAAAGAATGGCGTATGGGTCTTGTAGTGCTCTCCTGGATGTCTTACCCGGAATCAACTTTGTGGCTCCACAATAATTTATTCTCCCCATTCCTGCTTTTGGGTGAAGCCCCACACTTGTTCAAAACTGCCTCCCACCTTCCTTTTTAATCTCTTCTTGTCTTCCTCTAGGTTTGAACGATACAGGCTGGGCCGATCAGCACAGAATTCAAGCAACGGAGTAAGTCCTCCCGCCAGCCTTTCCAAGCAGCGTAACAACTACTCTCCTTGTGACCAGAGTGTACTCTTCCCCTAGGAACTGCTAAAATTTACCCTGAATATTAAGCATAACTGGTTGTGTATCTTTGTTGGCAAAGTAACAGTCAAAGGTCTGCTGGCAGATTGGGAGGAATGCAGCCATTTCAAGCTGAATGTGAAAATACCTAAGTTGGCAGTTCAACTTTTGGCTGTTCTTGGAACACCATCGTCTTAATCAGAAATTCAGGATGGTGGCCCAAATGGCTCAATCCAAGTTCTGCCTGTTTTTTTTCTGTGTGTGGTTGGTCGTAATTCTCCTCCTCCTCGGGAGAAAGAAGGCTCAGCACTGGCAGGATTCTGTCCCTTTTAGCCGAGATGACAGGGCCAGGGAAAGAAAGAAAACACCTGAAGAGAGGTTTAAGGGGGTGGGTGCTTGTATGCGCTTACCCCTCCTGGCCGTAACATCCTGGGCTTCATCAGAGCCACCAGGTGCTGCCTCTGACTCCTGTGATCCAGCGGGGATGCCATTCCTCTCGGGTGACCTCTGCCGCTACCCTGCCTGTCCCTGCAGGTTCTCAACGAGGTGACCGAGGACAACTTAATAGACCTGGGCCCTGGGTCCCCAGCAGTGGTCAGCCCCATGGTGGGAAGCACAGCCCCCGCCGCCAACCTTTCCTCTCAGCTTGCTGGGCTCGGTGAGTATCTTAGTTTCCCTTCTGTTTCTCAAAGAGTTGGAGGAAGTCTCAAGAAGCTAGTCCACGGTGAGGGTCTTTAAAAGTGGAGAGGTTGTTGCCTGGTATGCTTAGGTGGTTGCCGGTGTTGGATGCTGGCAGCCTTGTAGGAGAAAGCACCTAGGAGCCAACACTCTGCATTTAGAGGCAGGGAGGCCCTTTTTCATTTGTAACAGGTTTGTGCACCATAAGTCTCTGCTATAAGACACAACCTTTCATTACCTTGCGCTCAATCGCCAACCATGCTGTGCGCAAATCTGCGTTTGTCCCAGTAGGGCTCTTAGAGTCAAAATTTACGTCCCATATTACACTCAAGCTGTGTCTCATTTAATTGATTCCTGTGGTCCCTTCTCTGGCTCGCAGTCTTTGGCACCGCAAAGAGGCGAGGAGGACTGGAGGTGGCACCATTTCCTTCTCCTGAATCTGATCTTCCTCTTTCCTTTCCTCCCCACTCCCCAAAGATGAGTCTTTGATGTAAGCTCATCTTCCAAAGACTTGTAAAGGGAGAGGAGACCAGGCAGGTGGAGCCTTGGCCCTTTTGCCCATGGGAACGGAAGAAGGAGAGGGGAAAGGTAGCCGGCTTCAGGTGTGGCTACAGGGAACGTGTCTGTGCACCAAGGCTCACCGTTATCAAATGACAGAGGGCCACTTTGTTGTTTGAAAGAGAAAAAAGGGGGCCATCTATCTTTGTTTAAGACGTCTCGCTTTTTGTCCTCTGGGCCACTCTGTAGATTTGGGCACAAACAACGTGAGTGGGGCCCTCAGCTCGCTCCCCCACAGCAATCCCCGGGATGACTTCGATGTGTTTGCACAGACGAGAGGAGGCTCCGTGGCAGATCAGCGTAAAACGTACGTGGCCGTGGCGTGGATTCCGCTGCCTCTCTGAAAATTCATTATCGATGTGTATTCTGCCTTTATCCTTTTTACCAATTAAACTCAAGGTGGTGAACAGATCCAACCCACCTTCCTCCTCCTGTTCTCCTCACAACAACCACCACCATCCTGTGAGGATTAGGCTTTCATGGCTAAGATGGGACTACAACTCTCCATCTCCTGGATTCTAGCCAGGCGCCTTCACCACTAGAAGAAACTGGCTCCTAGGGCCAAAGAGCTGCTCAGGCCAATAGTCGTCCCCTGGGTCGCAGGTTCAAATCCTGAGCCAGCGAATGATCCGGTCCCTTCCTTTCATGGCCACCGTGCTGCTGCGAATCCATTTTTCCTTTTTTTAGCTACACCATCTTATCCTGAAGGCTTTGTGAGAGGGGATGTTGAGGGCTCAATTAGGTCGTATTTCAGACTATTTCTCGGCTACTTGGAGCCAGTGCGGATGCACCGAAAAATCAAAGGCAGTCAGAAATGCAGCATGAGGCCTTTTCGGGAGACTTCAGGAACACCTCGCCCTTGCCAAGCCATTGTTTTGGTGGTGATGTTGTCCCCGCTTTCAGGGCTGTTAAAAATGGAGTCCTTCTGGCTTCCTGGAGGTTTGCTGGATGAATTACGGCCCCCAGAGACTCCTCGGTATTTAAGCATGACTGATGCTCTCTCTCCTCTTTGTTCCATGGGCTCCACCCTGTGGCAGATTTGGAGGGCGGGGGGGAGATTTTGGCCTAATCAGCTCCCTCTGCCTTAATTGGATTGGCCTGGTGGGCTTCTGGGAGACGTGAAATCCCCAGGTTGAGGAGGTAGTGGAGTGCGACTTTTTACGTGTGTATTTATTCAGCTCCCCATAATCCAATCTGCCCCCAGAGGCGGAAGAGTTAAGTGTGGTGGCATCCGGCTGCGCTGGTTGTTTTGCTTTCTTTTTTTGCCAATAAAATCAGCGGGCTTTGGGTCTCTCTTTCGTATGTTTTCTTTTACTGTCGTTGGTTTCTGGTTATCCCAGCAATTCTTTTCTTTTCTTTTTGTCCAGCAGGACAAAGGAGGATCCGCAAACGGCTAAAGGGGTGGCACCTGCCCCAGATATCCGGAAACCAAAATCAGGAGGGGTAAGTTTGTTCTGCTATATTACCAAAGGTAGGTGTGTGTGTGTGCGTGTGTGTGTGCGTGCCAGTGCGTGCCATTCTTAAGCTGAGGACACCAAAAGGCAGTGTGTTTGTTCTCTTGTGTGCAATTGTCTGTTTTTGGGGTACTTGACTGGAAGTGTGGCAGAGCAAGCTGGGGTCGTCTCCTTGTTTGGTCATTGGGGCCAGGGTGGCCTCAGCAGTCTAGAAATTTTTGAGGGCCGGATATTCAATGGGTTGGTGGGAGGACGGCCCAAAGACCCACCTTCTCTCTTAGCTTCATCTGGATGTGGTCGTGCTTAAGAGGACCCCTGATTTCGTCTGGAGAAATACGAGGTGCTACTTTGGGACTGGGGGAGCTTCCCTTTTTTTAAATACTTTTTCAGCTGGTCACCCCGTTTCATATTCTGGCCTTTGTAGGATCCAAATATCCATATATCTCTAATTAATTTTATTTCATCAGAATAAACGGGCCACCTTTGTGCTTCCCCCCAAACGCAGTTCAAAGCAGTGTCCGTGGCTCTTCCTCTGTCCCCATTTTTATCCTCACTGTTAAAACGAGAAAGTTGCATTTGCCAATCAACTTTATGGCCAGGATTTGAACCCAGATCACCTCAGTGACCCATTTAAGGCCTGGTTCAGACCTCTGAGTTTGGCTGGGGAGAATGGATTGCACAGGTCTGGAGGGCGCCAGGTTGGGGACAAACTGCTTAGTGTGTTGTCAACTCAAAGGGACTCCTGGAGTAGGGTCAAAGTACTTGAATGTGTGTCTCTTTCCCCCCCCCCCCCCCCAAAAGAAAAAAACACCTTTGCCCGCAGGTGAAGACATCCTTATTTTGCTCTCCAGCTGACTTAAAGGTGTTGGCAACCCTTGTGCACCATAGCAATCACTGTCCTTCCAATTCTCAGCCATGATACGCTTCTCCACGGCTAAAACCGTTGTTGAAATCGGGCCCGGCTCCACAACTGCCTCCCTTAGCAGCCGAAACCCTGGTCGCGGTTGTAGCCCTGAGCTCTACCTGCAGCCTTGGCCGGCCAGGACCCAAAACATGGCTTGTCGAAATCCTTGCAAACAAAGACGTGGAACTTCCCTGCCCGCTTAAATGCCCTCTTGTCTCAGGAAGTGGGCATGGAGGGGCGTTTCTTCTACCCTCAGGCTGCCGGTTCTAGGCGGGGCCAGCCGCAGGTGGAACCAGGTGGGAGGCTGGGATGCCCAAAGCTGCTTTCCAGGCCCCTGCAGCGGGACGGGGGACAGGGCGGGGTTCTTGTTTTACCTGCGGTAATGAGGCTTTCTGTTCTCAACACACAGCGGAGAGGTAAAGGTGGGAGTGGCCCCCTGGAGCCCATAGACAGGTGGCTCATCTCCCAAGGAATGGTGAGCACCCCCTCCCCCCTCCATGTTGCCCTCACTCCTCCCGGTGTCCCTTTCCACCAGCCTCACCCCCCCC